ACATCCAGCTAGGGTTTTAGCCTTCAACCTCTAGGTAATTTTTCTTTTCTTCTTCTTCTCCTCCTTCTCTCTTTCTCTTTTTCGGTTTTTCTATTCCAGCCGTCTGTACAGCTAGGGCATGCACTGGTTCCCCCCTCCTTTATTCTTCTTATTTATTAATTTTAATATGTATTTTAGTTTATAAAATTAATTATTATTATATATATGTTATATTTTCAGTTTATTTAATTTTTTAATGTATATTTTAGTTTATAAAATTAATTATTATAGATATGTTATATTTTCAGTTTATTTGATTAATTTTATATGTATTTTAGTTTATAAAAAGTTGTTTAAAATGTATTTAAAGTTGAAGTTGAAATAGTGAAATAGTGAAATAGTTTTAATGAACAAATGAGTTATTCTAAAACATTATAGAACAAATTGCTCATAACTCGCACCAAGTTTACTCTCTCTCCGTTACCGTCAACCAACAGCGCGTCGATCTTCCTACTGTTTCTTCATCGCTATGCCGTCAGTTCCGCTTCCTACTTGACTGAATCTGCCGCCATGGAAGGGGATATCTACACATCTAACTGCAGAATTGTTACATAAACACTGATGGGAATGCAGAAGAGATATTCTCAAATATTCAAGGTCCAATTTTCTCTTCCAAAATTCTAAAATAACATAATCTGATCCCTTTTACGTCGTTGATTAAGTTTTTCATGAAGCAGTTCAACTTAGATTTTGCTTTTTTTTCTTCTGCCTCAGATTCTGTATCATTTGTAGTTTAATATGTTTTTGAGTTGCAAACAACTTTTGAGCTAAAGTTGGCATCTTTTTCTCTGTGGATTTTACCCTAAAAGTTCCATTTGTTTCTCAGATGGCAAATTCGTAATTTTGTTGGATTGTTTTAGTTACGCTTATGGCATCTTAAATTGGTCCGTAAGTATTGATACGTGATGTTCTGTTTTCAAAAAGACCCACTCTTCTGATTTCAAAAATCTCCCCCTCACCTCCTCTACAACTCATTATTCTTTCCCGCCCTTTAATTTTTTCCATTTCCACAAAATAGGAATTTAACCCTAAATCTCCACAGTACCCATTTATTTACTTTCTTGTTGTCAAAAGGATTGAATTCATTTGAGGGACACTGCCGTTTCTTGGTTTTACAACTCCTTTTGACTAGAAGGGATCTCCTAAATTCTCTTTGAATTATAAACAAGATACCCAAGTTCATCTCTTTTATGTTTTGGGTCTTGAAAAGTACTTGTGAATAATCTGATTATTTGTTCTTTAAGGTAGCATTTTGAAAAATGTCAGATGATATGGTCATTCATTTTGCATCCAATTCTTCAAACCAATCAGACCAGTCTCTGCCCACAAAGATTGCTAAACTTGAGGCAAGAATGGTGGGCAAAGCCTCATCTACATCTACATCCCGAGCTACTTCCTGGTCTGCCCCAGCCAAGTTTGGGCTTGGGCCTGGGCCTGCTGACAATGTTGCTGAGCTTGCTGTCTCTAGTGATTCTGATGATGATGATGATGTAAGTGTTTGTGAAATTCATCTTTTTCTTTCTTTTAATTAGCGTAGGTATGGAAAAATGCAATTCTTATTGTTGTTTAAGTTTTGGGCATTGACAATGTAAAAAATGTGTGATGTCACTTAAAAGGTAATTATAGGTAATTTTTTTCAATAAGCACTTATTAGTATCATATAATAGATTGTAAGTAACCTGCTATAACATGTTAAATTAGTCTGATAGTGCTAAAATTTAATACATTGTCAGTATATATAACTTAAATCCTTACAAAATGGGGTTTGCTAAATGCAGCAAAATCTTGTAAATGGCATCCTTGTCTGTCATGCTGGTGCATTGAAAAGCTTAGAATTATCTACCTATGTGTCAACTTAATTACTTTCTCTACTAGTTTATTGGTCCGCGTTCCATGTAGACATGTACCTCTGCAAACATGGATACTTGTGCAACACTAAAGTAGTAGAGAATAATTGTATAAAACGAGAGATCTATTAGCTTTTGCAGAATGAGCATGAGTAGAAGTAATTTGACTTCTTGAACGAGTGCAATAGTATATGGTTGGTGCATCTTGAACTTTTATGAATAGCTTGCTATTTATAACTTGTATGTGCTTGTATATTCAGATAGTAGGTTGAAATTTTGAATGACTAATTTGGGAAATTAGAAAAAGAGAATTGGCAACTTTGTTTGGAATAGTTTTCCACCAGCGATAGACGTGCCTCGGTGAGAACCTCACTAGCTTCAGCATTGCCCCAAGCGCGAGCTAGAATTGACAACTTTGTTAGCTAGTTGTCAAATTGGAAATGGTGACTGTGGGTGTACTATAAATGCTAGTTATGACTAGGTGTATCACTTATCTTACCCAACCTACACTGAGAAGATAATAGAACGTCAATGCTCCTATAATTTTGGCATTGCACTGTCAAGGTATTTCACATTTTCTTTCAGGGGTGTGTTGGTCTCCTTATATATATATATATATGAATCCAAATCTGCCGAATCACTCATGTTATGATCTTCTACATCATGGGTCTTTCTGTTCCGTCATCTATGTTCTTCATGTAGAATTCAGACCGAATGACTATGAAGTTACGTGGAAACTTCCATATATTATGGGTAACATATGAGACAACTGATGTACTTACAATGCTTTGCACCTCTCAAATACAATAAAAAGAGAGAAAAACAAAAGCACCCCGTTAAAGTTTTTCACAAAACTAGCGAAAACGTTCTTCAAACTCACATTAGAAGAATGTAAGATGGAAAGAAACCTCACCCACACATTTCTCAATCCTGCAAGATTGGAAGAAGAGTTGAATAAAGGAAGAAGAATGAAATAAAAGATCAATCATGTTTTTGAAGAAAAAACTTAGAAAAACTAATCACTAATGTTTATTTTCAGCATATTATGCCCTTTAAATAGGCCTTGCAATGAGTAAAATTGATAAGGTTAAGAAAAACTAATCCTAATCTAACTAGAATAAGAATAAAGCTAAGAAAACCTATCCTAACTAAAATAAGAAAAAGAATTCTAGTAGGAATGGGATACCAACTACCAATCCTAGTTTGACTAGAACTACAAATATAATCCTACCAAAACAAAAATTAAATTACTAGGAAACAAGGAATAAGAAATCCCTATCTTTAAGGAAAAGAAATCCTAATCTTGAAATCCCTATCGTGGCCTTCTTGATTTTGCGTCATTCTCCCTTGGTTGAGAAAGACTCGTCCTCGAGTCTAACAACTTCCATAAATGGCGCAAGATTTGCTATCATAAAGAATGAGGACCCAATGCTCGCCCGGTTTCAAGTTACACTTTGCTAGCTTATCACAGAGCTTCTTCGTGTTGTAAGAAAACTTAGCATGTGGTTGAATAAATCCCACTTTCTAAGTTTCAACTTTCTACCAAGTCTTCTCCATGTAATCTTTCTACGTTGTCTCTCAAATTTCAACTTACGATATGAAGTTATTGATGTTAGAACTTCATGGAACTTAACTAATTCTATGTCTAGCTTTAAATTAAGTATGGAATCCAACCAGTGTTATCAAAAGCAAAGAGCGCAAAAAAGTTCTAAGGTCCTTTGGGGCTTTAAGCGCAAAACGCAAATAAAGCATGGGCTTTAATGAAAAAAGGCGTAACTGGAGAAAAAGTAAAAATATGCATATGTAGTCTAAGAACAATAATTATAAGCATGAATAACAAATATATGGACAAAGAAATTGAAAAAAAGATTACGATAAAGTGAAATATCAATTGTTTAGTGTCGCCTTTTCAGGATTACACTCATTGGCAAGTAAAAGCATGCCTTAGAGCCTTGATGCGGCACTGAAACACCCACAAAGCGAGGCGAAGCGCTCAACATGTTTTGAGCCTCGCTTCAGGGCTTAAGCGCGCCTTTGACAACACTGAGTCCAACACTCTTTTTGAGAATGCTTCAATTGCAACGCTTCTACACCGACAATCACTTTGACGATAGCCATATATATAAACGACGTGATGATATCTTGTTTCTCCAATATATAGACTCAAACTCTCCATTATCCACTCCCTTTTAGGTAATCTTTCCTCTTGTTCATGCATATTTTTATGGACTTTAGGATTAACACAATATGCTGACTTGTTTGGGATGATTGAGTCAACAATCAAGTCAATATTGTGTTGAGCCAGTGTTTTGAAAAGCGAGCGCTTCGTCGCTTTAAGCGAGAAGCGAGGCGAAGCGAGAAGCCGTCGCTTTTTCCTAACTGAAGCGACACGACCAGCAGAAGCGATCGCTTCAGCCAAAAAAGCGCGAAGCGACACAGAAGTGAGAAGCGCAGAAGCGCTCGCTTCTGTTCAGAGGGGTCATTTTAAAAAAATAATAATTTTGGTCTTTGTTTTTATTATACAAAACAGACCTAAAGTGAAAAGACCATTCTTTCTCCTTCCCAACGTTAGCAGTAGCAGCCAACTAGGGTTTCAGCCTCCAGGTAATTTTTCTTTTCTTTTTCGGTTTTTTTTGTCCAGCCGTCTGCACAGCTAGGGCAGGCTGTTCCCCCCCCCCCTTATTCTTCTTATTTATTAATTTTAATATGTATTTTAGTTTATAAAATTAATTATTATATATATGTTATATTTTCAGTTTATTTAATTTTTTTAATGTGTATTTCTGTTTATAAAATTAATTATTATATATATGTTATATTTTCAATTTATTTGATTAATTTTATATGTATTTTCAGTTTATAAAATATATATATATATATATATATATAAAATTAATTATTATATATATGTTATATTTTCAGTTTATTTGATTTTTTTAATGTGTATTTTAGTTTATAAAATTAATTATTATATATATGTTATATTTTCAACTTATTTGATTAATTTTATATGTATTTTCAGTTTATTTGATTATGTATTTTCTTTTATCTTAATAGGGATTTAAAAATGTCCCAAAGTTTGAAAGAGAAAAACCCGACTTGGCGATATAGCGATAAAGCTGATGAGAAGAATAGTACAAATGTTGTATGCAAGTTTTGTAACAAGATTACAAAGGGGGTAATTTATCGCTTTAAATTCCTTCTTATTGGTGGCGATAGAAATGTCACAAGTTGTCCGAAATGTCCACCGGAGGTGAGGGATGAAATAAAGAATTTTGTTGAGAAGAAGAAGGAGCAAAAAAAATCAAATGAGTCATCAACCATTTGTGACCAATCTGATGATGATGATATTGAAGAAGGTGAAGGTTTGTCACTTCCAACAAAACGGGGAAGAGATGCTATCTCTTCAAGCCATGGATCGACGGGTACGAGTAGGACTAAAGTCCTATATATTGCTATTTCCCAAAGAAGCCAGAAGCAAAGAGCGGTGGAAAAGATGTGCAAAAAATTGCTAAGGACATTTTGAGGGATCGTGCAGTTAAAGCTTTTGCACGATGGGTCTATGATGCTGGGCTCCCCTTCAATTGTGTCAACTATACTGACACTTTTGGAGACTTTATTGAGGCCGTTGGTCAATATGGCCCTGGAATGAAGCCTCCCACTTATCATGAAATCAGAGGTCCTTATCTAAATAAGGAAGTGGAGAAGACCAATAAAATTGTGGAGGAACATAAAGTTGTGTGGAACAAGTATGGATGCTCCATTATGATGGATAAGTGGACAACAAGAACTGGAAAAATGATTAGGGAAATTTGTTTCTTGAGTCGATTGATGCTAGCGACTCGTCCACTGACCACATCAAAATGTTCACCTTGTTTCAGAACACCATTGAAAAGATTGGCCCAAGCAAAGTTGTTCAAGTGGTTACCGATAATGCGAGTGAAAATGTGAAAGCGAGTGGCATAGTGCAAGGAGCATACTCGAATGTCTATTGGACTACATGTGCGGCTCATTGTATCAACTTAATATTCGGGGACATTTTCAAGGAAAAACCCTTCTCTACAGTTTTTGGCCAGGGCACTAGGGTACATTCTTATATTGCTTAACGACCCTTGTTATTGAATATGATGAGAAGATTCACCAGACAAAAAAATTTGGTGAAACCGGGAAAGACATGGTTCGCCACTGCTTTCTTGACTTTGCATAGTATCCACTTGCAAAAAGCCAATTTGAGAAAGTCGTTCATTTCAGAGGAATGGAACAAGAGTAAATTTGCAAAGGAAACTAGGGGGAAAGATGTTGCACGCATTATTCTTTCTTATTCTTTTTGGAATAATGTCCTCCATGCTCTTAAAATTGGTGGCCCTTTGGTTAAAGTACTCCGTTTGGTGGATGGGGATTAAAAACCACCAATGGGCTACCTCTATGAAGCTATGGATAGGGCCAATGAGGCTATTCAAGCATCATTCACTCATGAGCAGAAATATGCAAAGGTCTTTCAGATCATTGATGCAAGATGAACGGAGCAACTTCATCGACCTTTGCATGCAGCTGGACTTATTCTGAACCCGTCAGTCTTTTATGATCAGTATGAGAATAATTCATTGGCTAGAGAAGTGTGGACGGGATTCCATGGGTGTGTTATTAAGTTGACCCCAGATGAAGACTTGCAAGAAAAGATAGTAGATCAGTTTGCTATTTACAAGGCAGGTGAAGGACTTTTCAAGCTGCGACTGGCTATTAAACAAAGAAAGACGAAGTCGCCAGGTGATCGAGTGCTTCTATATTTTATAGCTCTAACTTTTAATGTATTTTTTATACTTATTAACTCTTGAATATATTTTTTTTCACTTCTATAGTTGAGTGGTGGGACCAATATGGTACAGAGACTCCGGATTTACAGACTTTCGCGATCAAAGTTCTAAGTTTAACTTGTAGTTCTTCCAGATGTGAAAGGAACTGGAGCGTTTTTGAACACGTGAGAAATAAAAAGAATAATTTCGTGTTTTGAGATAAAGTAAATTATATCTCAATTGTCCTAACTCCTACTATTTAGTTGACACATCTTGTTTGCAGATTCATACAAAGAAGAGGAATCGACTAACCTTGAAGTGCCTCCATAATCTAGTGTTCATAAAATACAATAGAGCATTGAGACGTCGCTACAACCACCGCAATCTAATTGATCCAATTCTTTTGGACAATATTGACGAGGCTAATGAGTGGCTAACCGGAGTCCCCGAAAATTGTGAAGATGAAGAAGTAATTGAAGGCGACTCTAATTTCACTTGGGGTGATGTTGCGGATGCTAGTGGAGTTGGGGAGAACCCTTATGGTTTAAGGGGGAATACTTCAAGTTCAAGCTCGATTAGGAAGGGAAAAAGTGTGGCTACTACAAGTCGATCCCTATCCCTAATTGATGAAGATGAAAGTGCTCATGAAGAGGAAGAGGAATAAGATGTTGATTCTAGTAATTTAGTAGCTTTGATTTTGCTTGTCCTGTGGTTTGTGGAGGATTTGGTGGTACCTACTTTTAAGTTTTTAAATTAAACTTTTTGATTATTTATATTTTGTCTTTGCAAGGTTTACATTATGTTTTTTAAGAATTGCGCTTCACTTCAATGAAGCGTGCGGTTCGCTTTGCGCTTCGCTTTTGAAGCGAGGCGAGCCCCTGTCGCTTTTTTGCGCTTCTCACTCTCAAAAACACTGAGTATATCAGTGAAAACCCAAATCATTCACCAAAGTTGCCAAAAATATGAGTAAGTTTGAAAACAGTAATTTTTCCAAAAATCCTTTTAATAATAAATAAGATGTCTCATTTTCCTTCCAGATAACTAGTGAAAAATGCATCACTATGCCTGTATGTCAAATGTGTGAGAGAAGTCATGAATGACGTGGTACCGTACAGCATGAGAAAAATGCATCTCTATGCTTGTATGTCAAATGTGCATGTCAATGCGATGCAACTCAGTGATAAAATCATATGCATACTCTCAGAGTATCATTTCACTCAGTCCTCCCAATCACTCAGTCCTCACAGTTACTCAGTACTCACAGTCACTCAGTCCTCCCAATCGCTCGGCACTCGGTACTCGGCACTCGCACTCAGTAAGTACCTGCGCTCACTGGGGGTGTGTACAGACTCCGGAGGGGCTCCGTAAGCCCAAGCGCTATAATCTGCACGGACAACTCACGTGCTATAGTATCAATATCTGTATCCGCACGGACAACCCACGTGCTATAATAAGCCAATCTGGCCTGCCGCGGCGTGCAACCTGATCCCATAATAATAAAGTATATAAAGCCAATATGGCCTGCTGCGGCGTGCAGCCCGATCCCATAATCATCCTCACAATCAGGCCCTCGGGCTCACTCAGTCATCAATCTCTCCAGTCTCTCAGGCTCACAATGTCATGAAACTAGCCCAAAATGATGATATGATGAATCAATAAATAGCAACAGAGACTGAGAGATGATATGCAATGAATGAACATGACTGAGTATGAAATTTCATTTTAAACAAATAATTCAACATCAATATGACCTATGTGGGTCTCAATAATACTGGCACATAGCTTCAGCATGATTTTTATTTTTTTTATTTTTTATGATTCTCAGCTCAATTTCTTTAACACATAAAACTACAAAGAAAATGTCAAGATTATTTGACTACAACATTTCACGAAACCAATTACGTCACAATTTCTTTAGTGCACGCCCACACGCCCGTCACCTAGCATGTGCGTTATCTCCAAACAATTCACATAATACGTATATTTAGGGTTCATACCCTGAGCTCCAAGATTAGAAGAGTTACTTACCTCGAACAAGCCGAGTCCAATATCGGGCAAGCTAAACAATGCTCGAGAAATTTCATTCTGCGCGTATCAACTGTCGAACGGCTCGAATGTAGCCATAATTAATTCGATTCAGTCAACACAAATTATAGGAATTAATTCCATATGAAAATACTAATTTTTCTACAAAATCCGAAATTACACTCAAAAATTGCCATTGGGGCCCACGTCTCGGAATCTGATAAAACTCACAAAATCCGAACCCCCATTCAACCACGAGTCCAACCATACCAAAATTACTCAAATTCGACCACAACTCGGCCTTCAAATTCTCAATTAAAGTCTAAGAATTTTTCTACAATTTTCAACCCAAAATACTAATTTGTTGATAAAAATAATAATAGATTCGTGTAATTTAACCAAAACCGAGTTAGAATCACTTACCCCAATCCATATGGTGAAAATCGCCTAAAAAATCGCTTCAATCCGAGCTCCATAGCTCCAAATGTGTTAAAATGGCCGAAACCTTGAAATATAGCTTCTGCCCACACATTTACTCTTCGTGATCGCGGAAAATGCTTTGCGATCGCGAAGCACAGAAATTTCCAGCCCAAAATTTGCCCTTCGCGATAGCGGAAAACCACTCGCGATCGCGAAGAACAAACTCCCCAACTCTTCCAAACAGCCTCTAGCATAATGGTCATAACTTTTTGTACAAAACTCCAAATGACAAATGGTTTGACTTTCTGAAACTAAACATCAAGGGCTACAACTTTCATTTTTGGATCATCTCCAAATTCCTTATAGATTGCGAGATATAAGCTTCCAAAGTCGGGTCAGTGCAACAGAAATTTTGTTCTGCGAGATCGCGAAAGAGCTTTCGCGATCGCGATTCACAAGGCCCCAAACTGCTGTTTGCTCTTCGCGAACGCGACCAAATGTTCGCGATCGCGATGCACACCTCTGTAGATAAAAACCAACAATTAAAAATGGTCTAGAAATGATCCGAAACCACCCCGAAACTCACCCGAGCCCCTCAGGACCTCAACCAAATATACCAACAAGTCCTAAAACATCATATGAACTTAGTCTAAGCTTCAAATCACATCAAACAACGCTAAAACCACGAATCATGCCCCAATTCAAGCTTAATGAAACTAAGAAATTCCAACTTCTATATTCGATGCTGAAACCTATCGAATTAAGTCCGATTGACCTCAAATTTTGCACACAAGTCATAAATGACATAACGAAACTATTCCAATTTCCAAAATTGGATTCCGATCCCGATATCAAAAGTCAACTCCCCGGTCAAAATTCCCAAAAATTCAATTTTTGCCATTTCAAGCCTAATTCCACTACGGACCTCCAAATAATTTTTCGGACACGCTCCTAAGTCCAAAATCACCATACGAAGCTATTGGAATCATCAGAATTCAATTCTGAGGTCGTTTACACATAAGTGAATATCCGGTCAACTTTTCCAACTTAAGTTTTTAATTATGAGACTAAGTATCTCATTTCACTCCGAAATCTTTCCGGACCCGAACCAACTAACTCGATAAGTCATAAATCAATTGTAAGGTATAAATTAAGGAGTAAATGGGGGAACGGGGTTGTAATACTCAAAAGGACCGGTAGGGTCGTTACACTACTATGCTACATACAGTAGGAAATCTCTACTTTGTGCCAAATTGTACCCATCCCAGGAGAAATTGAGGTCCAAACCTGATGAAATGGCATAGTTGAACTCAGTTACTCTAAGGTTCTTTGAGTTTGATTTCTGAGTAGTAGTAGCTGAATTAGAGCCTAATTTTTGTGATTGTTCATTATTAAGGTGTTGTAAATGGATTCGGACTTTGAGCTTTTGTTAGCCCCTGCTTAATTGATGTTAAAATGTGTGCAAAGCTAAGTGCTTGATGAGTTTGTTTGAAGGAATTGATTGCTAGTCTGCCTGATTCTTTGGGATTGATCTTCACGTGTATGCTGAAAACAGAATACAACGTAAAAGTTATGCTTGTTTTAGCTTAAATCTCTGTGTTATTGATAATTAGAAGCTAATGTAGCAAGCTGAATTTTGCTGAGAGAACTTGAAATTGTTCGTCATCGAAATTGCAACTGAGGGTTTTCGAGGCTATTTTTATTACATTTTGGACCTGTGAAGATTTATTCTTGTTGCTTATTCATTACTAATGTGCTATCAAGTGAGCCGCGCTTTAAATCATTGCTAAATGTGTGCTAATCCATGAGAAATTAAGTCACAAAGAGGGAGTATTTGGACATGTTTAAACACCCAGGACAGTCTGAAGACCCTGGGGATTTTTGTGCTTGCTAACTGGCCTTGCACACGCATACACACTAATGCATTTTTTTCCTTTTTGTATTCTTTTACTTCCTTTTGATTATTTGACTTCTTTCTTCATTCTTTTTAAGATAGTTTAAGGTATTTAGAGTAGTTAATTATTTTTTGCACTAGCTTCTCATGAATGGTTTTGATTCTAGGCACAAATGGCTTCCAAACAAAGTGTGTCGGGCAAAGCAAAGAAAGGCAATAAGGGTGAAGAAGGACTAAGAAGGGCACCTCTAAGGGAGGCCCATGGCAAGCAAATGTCTGAGCTTCGGGACTCATCATTCCCCATGATGATCCAAGTAGATATTTCACGCTCTACATCCTTTGCTCCACAAAAGTAAACTAAAAGAAAGGATGCACCAACTGTTGCACCATCCACAAAGAAGAAAACTAAAGTCAGTGACAAATCTTCTAAACCTGCTTCACACTCACAGGTAACTCCTCTTCCACCCATGGCCACAACTCCTTCAACATCTCAAGAAGCAATTGTTGACCAACCAGTTGTGCAAGAAGTCGAGGACACAATGAGACTTCTTCCGACTGACCCACTGGTTCCCACCACCCCAACAAAAGAAAGATCACTTGCTAAAGATCACTTACATATCGATAGATATGGACAAGAATCTGCCGGAGTTTTACCATGAGTTAGTTAGGAGAAACTGGATGATCCTTACTAAATCATGGGCCAGAAATGAGACGTTTTTGCATGAATTCTTCGCTCAAGTTAGTGCATTAAGCAAAGAGGAACAACACTTATTATCTGGGGTAACAATTAGAGATATGTGGGTACCATTGAATGCACATGAATTCAATGAATTGATTGGATTGAAAGCACAAGATAACAGTCGATTGGCAAGTACATTACGTAACAGAGAGGCTAATAGGACTTGGGCGGTAAACATTGTGAAGATGAAAAATTCAAATCCAACATGGACACATAAAGGTAAAATATACAAAACTGGGTTTAATGCTACAATTGTGGCTTCGAATATCTTTGAGGCCAACAAATTAATGTCATCAATGAACTATGCTGAGGCTTCTGAACCGCGAACTAGTCTAATTGCGGCTATCATGCCCAAATGGCCGGTGGATGTGGGTGAAATAGTAATGATGGAGCTGAGGGAGAAATTCTCAATGAGCACAAGCGCCATGCCATTTCCTGGATTCCTAACTAGTCTCTTCAGGAAGTACAATGTACCAGCTTCTCCGTCTGATCGCATTTTGCCATGCGCCACTCCAACAAAAATCTTCCAACACATAACTTCTGATCAATTGTCCAAGATGCAGAAAAGTGATCTGGCCATATCATCATCCATACCATTACCTATTGCTCCTTTGCCTAATGTTCGTAATGCCTCCACTACATCTTCTGCTGCCTCTGATGCCACTACTAGTGTAGCTGTGATTCCTTCCGGTACATCGCCTCCAACCACTTTTGAGGCACCTTCTTCATCCATTAGTATACCTGGAGTGCTAAGTGACAATGTGAAACAATTGTTAGCATCTATGGGATCAATGATTGTTGATACAAATGAGAGGTTGCGAGCCATGACTCATCCAGTTGATGCCTCTTTTAAACAAGAGTTACGAAGTGTCAAACCTCCCAAGCACACACTAATTATGGCACCCATAAAGAGCATACATATGGGTTTTGCAAAGTTTTCCGGGGCAAAAGCCTCAAAATAAAGAGAAGAAACTGAGGCTAGAACAAAGAGAAGGGAGGAGAAGGACAAGATCAAGCAAGCCATGCTTGATACACTTCAGTCTTTAAACGGTAAAGTTTTGTCCATAGAAAGTATGGTCAAGGATATGGATAGCAGGCTCAAGAGGTTGGAGAGTCTTAATGTGGGTCCATCTGGACTACAAGATGACTCCCAAATTTATAGGGATGACGCCCAAAATGCAGCTTTGTGCAAGAATGATAGTGGAGAGTGAGCCGCTAACTGATGAGCACACAGTTGCTCCCGTTCACCCTCCCACGAAAATGGTTAGGACACCCCATCCAGGATAGCTTGGCGTCGAGGAGCTCAAATCAGTTCGGATGCCACCTCGCTCGGAGCGAGGGAGTGCTTATTTACCCTACACCTATACTTTCTTTGATTGCATTGAGGGCAATACAAACTTTTACGTGGGGGGGGGGGGGGGGTATTGATGAATTTTGGTATAATTGACACTTTTTGTTGCCATTAGTTGGCGTTATATTTTCTTTTTAGTAATTTCTCTTCTTTTATTTTTATTGGTCTTTTGTTTTACATTTTCTAGGAATTAGAAATAATCTCGTTGGGTTTTCTTTGCCATGGTTCTTTCCCAAAGATGCAACTTGAACCGGGAATATGTTTATTTTTAGTAGTGTCGGTGTCCCAAAGTTAACCTTTGACTTGTTTGGTACCAACACTACTTAGATGTATGCCTTGAAACAACTTTCCATGAAATGCATGTTTTTGAAAATTCTAGAAAGTAGTTGAGCTTATTATTTTTAGCATGATCCTTAGGTTCCATTGTTAGCCTTAATGTCACTATATAGCTTTTAAGCTATGGCAACGTTTTGCGTTCATGTGTTTCAATTGGGATTTGAATGCATATATCTGCTTTGAGTGTACATGAGCCATGTGAGGTGAGGTTGTTGTTGAGTTCTTTTGTGTCAATTGTGGTCTAGAACTTGCCCTAAGTGTGTTTCGAGGCAAAATTCTAGGTTGTGCTTGGTTTAGAAAATGAATTTAGGCTTTATTTGGACCGATTGTGCCTTTAATTACTTACCCTTGATAAGATTATCCTAGTCAACCCTTTTGAGCAATTAGCCTTTTATTGTCAACCACATTATAAGCCCTCTTCCCTTCTTATGCTAACCTCTTTTTATGCCCCGACTTTCTTAAGCACTTGAAATTACAATCTAGGCCAAAAGCCTAAGTTTGGGGGAGGAGGTGAAAAAAGTGTGATGTAAAAGCTACTTGAAGGTGAAGCAACCAAAAAAAAAGAGTTGAAATAAAAAGGGAAGACTAAAGACTCGTGACAAAGGTGATGATCACAAAGGGAAAGCCTTGCGAACTAAGGAGCTTTAATGGTGTAATTAAATCACTTTGCCTAGTTGAAAATGAGAGCAAAAAGGGTGGAATTTTGAAAGGGATTGTGTTTTAAATTGTCAAGATTGTAGTGCTTAGGAAGGTCGTAATCACTCTTTACCCATATTGATGCCCTACCTCCAACCAAAAAACCTACAATACTTTCTCGCAAGTCCTAAATGATTTTGAACTAAGCACACATACATTAGTGGAGATTTACGTGAGGGGCAAGCCTATGGCACTACTTTTGTACATTTGAACTTCTTTTGTAAGAGAGAGTGCTTACTTTTTTTGATTCATATCCCACTTTCGCTTTGAAAATATCATAACGTGTGTGTGTGAATCTCTCTTGATTTGTGAGGGCATATGGAAACTCGGGTGTGATTAATGTTTCTTTTCTCAATTGGGACACATGAACAAAAGAAAGTGGCCTTGTGACTTAAAGATTTTCTTGACTTGTTGAGTACTCATGTGGTTTTGAAATTTAAAGTCTTTGGAAGTTGTTGAGCGGTCATGCATTTGACGATAGTTGTGGTACCAACCGAAGTCATGGGTTTTTTTGCTTGACTGCTTCTTAGCTTGGTTGTGATGCTAGCTTTAGCTTGTGAGTTTAATTGTTTAATAGCTTCAATGAATTCATGCCTAAGTTTGAGTCTTGATTTGGTTGAGGACAACTAAATTGTAAGTTTGGGAGAGTTGATAAGTTGGATTTTTAGCCAATGTCTCTTGTATTTTTATAAGATTTTATGCCCCATTTATTGGAAAAAAGTAACTAATTATGCTTTGAACGGATCGATTTCAGGTAATGAAGGTTTGAGTACGCTTAAAGAATGAAAAATAATCAAAAATATCAAGAAAAGACCAAGTCCAAGTGAAAAATAGAAGAAAAGTTGAAGTTTGAGCTGAAGACCATGCGTAGCCTTGCGTAGGCTACGCAGAGGAAAACCTGAGAAGTAAAGATTTGAAGACATTCTGTTTTTGCCTACGCAAACCTGCGTAGGCTATGCAGATATCCTACGCAGAGGAAAAAAGGTGAAGTGTTCAAACTTGTGTAGGCTACGCAATTAGCCTACGCCCATGCATCTAGCCTACGCAATTGACTGAAGGGCAATTTTGTCCTGTCGTGGGGCTTAGTATAAATAGCTATTTTAAGTCATTCTAGGGTATCTTTTTGGAAGGATACTTATGTAGCAGTTGTTGGGGATTTCTTCTTGAGGAATTTGGATGACTTCACCATTGTTCTACACAATCTTTCTTTCCTCTTTAGCTATTATGTTTAGTTTTTCATCTCTTTTTGTATTCTCCCTTCTTAATATGTCTAGCTAAGTTTATTAAGTTAGGATTGTGAACCCTAAGTGTGGTTATATTTTTGGGTTATTAATATAAATTCAAATTTTGATTAAGCTTTGTGTTATCCAATTACTCCATGATTTATTGATTGATTTTGTGGTTGCAAACACTAAATTCATGCCTATTTTGCTTGTTCTAGCTTGGAAGTGTAGAACGTAGCTTAGGTATAAAGTAATTAGTAAGAAATTAAGTGGGTTAACCGTTTGATTAACGAAATCTAGCTAGGAATAGTGTGATTTCTACTTGGGCTAATCAATTACTTATCATTGAGCCTTAGTTGTCTTGGAGGAGCAACTTGGGGCGGAAACCTCTCAAGTGTTGGAAGACATTAAGTTGGTAGAATAGAAATTTGAGGTCATAACACATGCTTAATTAACTAGAATTAACGATTTGTATACCCAAAGCATAGCCTACACGAGGGGGAAGTAATCCTAGCGCCTTTCTCTTATTTTTGTTATAACTACATCTTAATTGCACTCTATGTGTTTGATAGAATTCCTTAGTTAAATTTTAGTAGTAATTGTAGACATAATTGAACAATCACTCTTTGTTTGAAGATTACATTAAGAATCATCAAGTTTGCACTCATTTGGACACTTTAACACATACCTACTCCTTGTGGGATTCGACCCCATTCTTTGTTGGGTTTATTATTGCTAACGACCATGCTACTTTTATATAGAGAGTAGGATGGACGTCACCAATGGGTCTCCAAAGAAGGTTAGGAATATATGTTGGGTTTGAATCGCCCACCATTATTTGCTACCTCGAAACATTAACGTGAGATTTATTCACTGCTCGATTTGCAGATTGCCGATTCGATGAGACATTTTTCCCAAAACTAGGGGAGAAAATGTTAAACCAAACGAGAAATTTTGTGAAAAAATCCATCATTGTCTCATCTTAATTCACGCGCCTCAATTTGTAAAAAAGAGGTGCAAAAGATTATCCATTTGCAGAAAATAGCAAATCAAATGCAGATGCATTTATGGATCTTAAAAGGATAACGAAATCACATATCTCTACAGAGAATGTTCCAATCCGTATTCATGTCCATGTTGGACAATCTTCTAGTGTCATAGCTAATGAGTCAAAAGCACGCCTAAAGCGTGGTAGACCATTGGGTTCTAAGTATCGAAATCCTTGTAAAAGGAAAACAAATGATCAAGATGACACTACGAATGAGTATCATAAAGAAACCCATGATTTAACCAATCTTGAGATTCATGAGAAAATCATTGAGCCTGTGACTTAAGAAAATAAGGAACTATCAATAAACTCAATCGATATTGAGACGAATTTGAATCGATTAGATATAGTGGTGGATTATGTCTTTGCATATAATATTTCATCTAGCATTATGCAAGATAGTGAGAATCTTGAGCCTCAATCTCTTGGAGAATGTTGACAAAGATGTGATTGGCCAAAATGGCAAGAAGAAATCCAATCTGAGTTGGATAATCTTGCGAAACGTGAAGTTTTTGGGTATGTAGTCCAAACACGTAATGGTGTTAAGCCTGCTGGCTATAAATGGGTCATTGTACGTAAGGGAAATGAGAAAAATTAGGTATAAAGATATAAGGCACGCCTTGTTGCACAAGGATTTTCACAAAGGCCTGGTGTCGATTATGAAGAGACATATTCACCTGTTATGGATGCAATAATATTGCGTTATCTTATTAGTTTTGTTGTCTATGAAAGGCTTGGCATGCATTTAATGAATATGGTTACATCATACCTTTATGGCACAATTGATAACGAAATATACATGAAAATTTTTGATGGATTTAAAATGACTGACACACATAACTTAAAGTCCGAGAAATATTTTCAATCAAATAGCAAAGATCTTTGTATGATCTTAAAGCAATTACGAAAAATGTGGTATAACCTCCTTAGTGAGTATTTATTAAAGGAATGTTATATAAATGATGTCATTTGTCCATGTATTTTTTATAAAGAAAATAACATCGAAGTTTGTTGTACTTGCCGTATATGTTGATGACATAAACCGTATTGGAACTCCTACAAAACTCTCAAAGGCAATTGATTATTAAAAAAAAAGGAATTCGAGATGAAAGATTTGAGAAAGACAAAATTATGTCTCGGTTTGCAAATTGAACATTTGGCAAACGAGATTTTTGTTCATCAATCTAGCTACATAAAAAAGGTATTAAAATGGTTTTACATGGATGGGGCACATCCATTAAGTACTCCAATGATTGTTCGATCACTTGATGTGAATAAGGACCAGTTCCAACCTCAAGAAAAGAATGAAGAGTTTTTTGGACCATTTTAGAACTCCAACTCTATTTCTTATGTTTTATTTTGGCACTCTATCTCAACCGTGTTCCATTTTGGCCCTCCAACTCTATTTCTTATGTTTTATTTTGGCACTCTATCTCAACATTATTTCATTACGGGTTCGAAAGTTAGCGGTTCAGAAATTTATAAAATTTGTAGGTATTTCAGGATAAGCATGCACACGTTTCACAAAATATAAAATTTTATTTCAAAATATTTTATTTTTTAATTATTTTTACGAAACTGACCAACTTCGGTCATTTTTATTTTGCGCAAAAATACAGGAAACTCTTTTAGTGTCCCGCAAAATTTATTTTTTAAGAAACCGACCGAAATGGTTGCTCTTATATTAATACTTCACTACCGAAAATCAAGTTCATTCCCTTTAATTGTTTTTACGAAACTGACCAACTTCGATCATTTTTATTTTGCGCAAAAATACAGGAAACTCTTTTAGTGTCCCGCAAAATTTATTTTTTAAGAAACCGACCGAAATGGTTGCTCTTATATTAATACTTCACTACCGAAAATCAAGTTCATTCCCTTTAATTGTTTTTACGAAACTGACCAACTTCAGTCATTTTTATTTTGTGCAAAAATACAGAAAACTCTTTTAGTGTCCCGCAAAATTTATTTTTTAAGAAACCGACAGAAATGGTTGCTCTTATATTAATACTTCACTACCGAAAATCAAGTTCATTCCCTTGTAGTTTAACACTTCGCTCACTTCCAATAATTCGTCAAAATTTTGAATTTCATATTATTATTTTTTACACTTCGATGTTTGAGTCAATTTCAAGTCACAATTAGCACCATTGCCAATAGTAATTTGTGGATCCTTTCTTGAGAGATGAGTAGGAAAGGAAGAGGAAAAGAAATTGGTGAAATTGAATTCTAATGCTATATTTTGTATATAAATAATACAACTTATATCAATTTGCAATTAAATTAAAATATTAATATTAAGGGTAAATACATTTCAAAAATAATATAAACAACAAAACTCAAAATAGTGGGTGTGGTCAAACTTAGCCCATCGTTAAAGTATCTTATGCCCGACCCATTAAAATTTGAGTGATCAGATGGGTATGAACCACTTTTGTCACACTTACATACAATATGCGACTTTTAAACCTTTCTATTGAAAGAAATTGTATATAAACAATCCTGCACCAAAGCAGGTATTTCCTCATTACTTTGTTGAGCTAAACAAAATAATATTAATTAGAATTTGTAAATATGCATGGCCAAGGAAGTATTATACAAAGTGACTACAGTATTTTTCAAAAAAAATAATTTAGCTCCTAATATTTTCAGTACACTATGTATGGCTTGTGTAAAAATTACAATATTGCTTAGTTCTCGATTTTTCAGTTTCACTAATTATGGCCTGTTTGGCCGAGCATCTCCGATCATAGAAGCACTTTTTTCAAAGCTGGATTATTTGGCCAACCTTTTAAAAGGGAAAAAAGTACTTTTAAAGAAAAAAACAGAAGCAATTTTGAAAAAACAGAAAAAAGTAACTTATCATCAAAAGCACATTTTTAAAACACTTTTGACAAAAAATTCATTTAGAATCAGTTTTTTAAAAAATTTAGCCAAACACTAATTACTGTTCAGAAGTGCTTTTCAAATTAATTAGTCAAACACAAACTGCTTCAAACAAATAATACATTTTTGAGAAAAAGCACTTTTGAATCCAAACAGGCTATAAGCTTCAGTAATGAAAAGTCATTGCTCTACTTTTTGTGCTTTGCAGTCTGACTTGTAACAGGTAAACTTTTAAAATCGGCTTATTTTCGAAAGTACTTTTCAAAAAAAAATTGGTAAAAATCTATTTGTGTCTGTCTACACTTGTGAAGTAATTAGTGTTTTGACCAAACTTTTTAAAAATGAATTCTAAATGTATATTTTTCAAAACTTTCTCACAAAAGTACTTTTCGAGAGAAAATATTTTTCCCCCATTCAAAATAAAATTTTATTCTAAAAGTTTGGTCAAACATTTCTTTTTTTTTTTGTCAAAGGCACTTTGTTTTTTGGCACACAAAAAAAGAGGCTATTGGGCAACTTCGGACGGAATCGTTTCTGAATCATTATTCAAAAAACGACGCTCTGTAAGCCATTGTTCCATTACGAACCTTTCCACAAATATAAATCAAAAACCAGACAATACTAATGTTCATACAATGATATTGCCAAAACTTTATCAATTTGAATTAGAAGCACTTTTTTCAAAATATTTTATTTTTAAATTATTTTTACAAAACTGACCAACTTCGTAGTTTTTTTTTGCGCAAAATAAAAGAAATCTTTGTGTCCTACAAAATTTAATTTTTTTAAAACCAACCCTTATAGTTATATTAACACTCCGCTCACTTGCTATACTTCATCAAAATAAATTGAAATTCATATTACTATTTTTTGCTCTTCGATTTTTGAGTCAATTTCAAGCCACTTAGCACCATTGCCAATAGTAATTTGTGGATCCTTTCTTGAGAGAGGAGTAGGAAAGGAAGAGGAAAAGAAATGGGTGAAATTGAATTCTAATGCTATATTTGTATATAAATAACACAACTATATCAATTTGCAATTAAATTAAAACATTAATATTAAGGGTAAATACATTTCAAAAATAATATAAACAACAAAACTCAAAATAGTGGGTTTAGAAGAATTGTGGTAAAACTTATCCCATCATTAAAGTATCTTATGCCCAACCCATACATCTTGAGCGATCAGATGGGTTTGAACCACTTTTAT